ATCGCGGTGGAGGCCAAGACACTTATGCACCGAAATTGTGGTGTTCGGCCTGCACGAGAGCGCTGTCGGGGCACTCCGGATGTGGTATTCCACGGAGAGCGGCTCTCCTCCGGCAAGCTACATCATGATATTGGCGAACGAGAAGGCGAGGTGGCGTAGGTCCTCCCGGGATGGTCGGGGTCCTAGGAAGGCACCGAGCTGGCGCTCTAACCTTCCATAGTCGAAGCCGAGAAGCTGGTCGCTCCTGGGGGCGCGGACCTCCGGTGCATGCAGCTACAGCTCCTCAAGCACCTTGGCGATCATGTTGAGGCCGAAGAAGTGGAGAGGTTGGCCGGCGGTGGGAGCCTGAACCAACCTTCCCTCCATCATGACGATGAAGTCCAGGCTCTCGAAATGCACGTGCGCGCCCGGGACCTAGCTGACGTTGTGACTAGCCATCCGAGGCCTGGTGTGGATGTCAAGACGCGCAAAAGGCCCCTACCTGGCGTGCCAACTATCAGTGTTTCAAGTTGCCACCGACTAGTAAAATTCTAATATTGCGTGTCTGGCTTGGATGGTGTACTAAGAGGACATGAGGTTTATACTGGTTTGGGTAGAATGTCCCTACGTCTAGTTCATTGTTATCGCTCGTGTTACTAGCACTGAAAGTTTGTAGTAGGGGTTTCAAATGGGCAAGAGAGGATAGGTCCCAAGTCTCTGATAGAAAGGGTGAACGGATGCCGAGAGCTCGGTCGCTACTTGGTTGTATGTTCGGGTTCGATGAGTTGATCAGATTGAGTCTCCTGTTGTGTGCTGTGATGAGTTTCGATCATTGGTTCGATGCCCCTTGTGGGATGCCCTGCTTTCCCTTTTATAGGTTAAGGGAAAGCAAGGGTTATAGTGGAGGGGAAAAGAGGAGAAATGAGAAGGAGCAGAAGTTCTCCAGGATTGTCGGGTCCTTCTTTTCCTTCACGTGGGCCCGCCGACCCTGTAGACGTCATCAGGGATAGCTCCACATCGTGGCCCTGTCCATCGCTAGAGCCATGTGCAGACATCATCTCCTAGTTGTGGCGCTCCACTCTGTCCTGGCAGACGCCGTGGTGAACTGACGCGCCCGTCAATGTTCGTACGGGGGTTAGGCAGAACAACACCGATATGCCCGACGCTGTTCCTGATGTGAATCCCCAAGTATGGCCCATCGTGGGTCGCGGGCTACATCGAGGCATGCCAGACTCTTCCCTGGCGTTAGAACTTTGGCCCAGGCCCATACGCTTGGACTTGGAGTGGTTGGCGGTGGTATGGGTCTCCGTTGGGCGAGACGGAGCCCTTGGCCTTGAGGTCGGGTGAGGCGGAGTGCCTCCCCAGAGGTCGGGCGAGGCAAAGCGCAAACCCGAGGCTCGGGCGAGGTGGTGCCCAAACCCAAGAGTCGAGCGAGGCGGAGCCATTCCTTAGAGGTCGGGCAAGGCAGAGCCCGCGGCTTTGGTGTTGGGCGAGACAGCCCTCAAGGGTTGGGCGAGGCGGAGTTTGCGCACCTAGGGGTCGTTGGAGTTGTAGTCACGCTCTTGACTGGTCGGATGTATCAATGTTGATAGTTATTAGCTCCTCCTCTTCGGTTACCCTTGTATTGGTCCCCGACACATATGTTGCAATTCTTTCAGAGGCATGTTAGTGTTTCAAAGACATGTTGCAAGCATTTGTTTAAAATGTTTCATCTATTTCAGACATATGTTGGAAGCATTTTTATCTGGATGTTCCACATGTTTCACACATATGTTGCAAGAGTATGTTCGAAATATTTTAGTTGTTTTAGTCTTATGTTGCAATAAGTGTTTTCATGTTGCAAATTGCAAGTGTTTTATCTGGATGTTGCATATGTTTCACACACATGTTGCAAGTATATGTTCCAAATGTTTCATCTGCTTTAGACTTATGTTGTATTCAAGTGTTTCATGTTGCGAGTATTTCATGTTTCAGAGGTATGTTCAGAGAGTCATGGGGCATAGCCCGAGCGCTAGGGGAAAGGGTAGATGGGGCGCACAACACGCCTAGGGTCCTGTGGACGTGGCGTGCTCGTCCTCATTTGGGCTCCTGGGTCCCGCCCGAGCGGAGAGAGAAGGGGGACAAGTGGGGAGGAGTGGCAAGCGCAACCGGGTTGCGCGTGCGGGGCGGGGCGGATGAGAGCGGGGTATGCGTGCGGAGCGGGGTGTGGTAGACGGGGGATGGACGTGCGCATGCATCAGCGATATGGCACACGGGCGCAGCGGCAAGCGCGGGCGGGTGAGCTGGGGCAGCAACATGCGCGGGGTGGCCAGATGCGCTCATCTGCTCCAGACGCTCCAATGCTAGTAATTCCCCCAAAAAAATTATAGATACTGCCCACAGGCAAAAAAAATCATTTCCAAACTGTAATGTGTACCCGTAGTCTCAGTGTCGCTCTTATCTCCGTTTCCATTTCCTTGTCACTGATAACGCGTTGCAGCAATTTTGATCGTAGGGCTTTTCTAAGAAAAAAAAGAACATATGACCTCTTGAGACATAGTACTTTATAGTGATTGTACAGTTTTAAGTATATCTACTTAGCCCTTGTTTAGTTCCCACATCAAAACTTTACACCGTGCGGGGGCGGTGCGGCCCCGCCCTCTGAGGCTCCGTGGATCATAGTTCAACTGTGGCTTGGCCCACGGAGCAGGGTATCCGCCCTTGATGCTGATGGGTGGCGGTGCATCCTGCCTCGTTCTCCAATTCATCCGTGGGCAACCAGCAGCTATGCCGGGGAGGCGGTGAGGCCAGCCTTCAGCAGGCGCCCCACCGGGGGTTAGACCCCGGATCTTCTCGGTCGATTTTAGGGTAGGTGCTTCAACTACCTATCCCGAAATCACCGGGTGGCCACCTGCTGGCTCCCCCGCCGCTGCCTGCGCTGCCATGGGTTTGGGCACATAGCGCGTGACTGCAAGCAGACGAGGTCCAACGTTATCGCTACCACCTCCACTTGCCACTCCTCCCCGTTGATGGGTGTATGTGCGCTGGGTGGCAGAGCATGGTCGTGGACTGCCTCTCTTTGCTTCAGCGGCGTTACCATCAAGGCCACCTCTGGGTTGCCTGCTGAATGGTCGACGCCCCATGCCCCATCCATGATTCCTGCTGCAGGCGAGGTTGCCGTGCACTCCTCCCTGCCTCAGGTTTCCTTCGACGACTTCTTCGACCCCATCGCTTTTGAGATGAAGGCGTGTGCCGGCCCATGAGCGATGGGATCCCATGCGCTCCGAGGGGTTGGTTGTCATGGAGAAGCCTTCGGGTGTGGGGTCCCAGCAGGAGGGTCGCCCCTTCCGGCGTAGCTTTGTGGATCGCCTGACTTGGCCGCGCGTTCGCATCTGCAGGATGTTTACTCCGGTTAGGGGGCCGACTGCGTCAATGTGGAGCTCGCTGGCTCATCTCGCTTGGCCCCTTCTTTGGACGAGGAGCAATCGAGCCACGCGGGGTCGCCGTCCAGAGTTCCTTCCCAGCTGTGGCACCAGCTCCGGTGTCACCAAGTGCAGTCTCGCAGTATCTGCAGTCGTAGCTTTGCTCTGCCATCACGGAGCCGATCTTGGTCGAACCTCCACGTCTACGTGTTCCTAGGAGGCATCGTGCGGTTGAATGCACATTCTCGCCGCCACGTAGTAGCGGGAGGCTTGCGGCCAAGAGCAGATACAGAGCCTCCAACCCGACCGTGTAGGCTCAGAACGTGTTGATGGCAAAATGGGGAGTCCCCCAGCAGGATCAGGCGCCGCAGGCCGATGCGGAGGGCGATTTCGATGAGTACTTGGCCCTATTCGGCGGGCCTCTCTCGGAGTCCAAGCGCGAGGCAATCAGGATGCTCTTCCCGGCAGGATGCGCGATTGAGGGCATCCAGCTGGTGGAGGGGGTGGACCTTGAGGTTTAGCCTACCTCTGGGTACCCGTCCTAGGTCGTCCAATCGTTGCCCATGGCCTAGTTTATTAGCTTGCTGTCGCTCAGCCCGTTGTTACTTTTAGTCCCTCTTGTGGTAGTAACCGGGCTTCGTCGTAGCTTTCTTTAGTTTTTTCGCTTCTGTTTTTTTCTTCATTATCATCGTCTAGGAAACCTTTGGTTACCTAGTGTTGAGCCGTTTGTTATTTGGTTTGGTGTTGTCTACTTCCTCTTAATGAAATACGTGCTACACGGCACGTTCGTGAAAAAAAAACTTTACACCGTGTCACATCGAATATTTGGACGCATGCATGAAGTATTAAATATAGACTAAAAAATAACTAATTGCACAGATTGCGACTAATTTACGAGACGAATCTTTTAAGCCTAATTAGTCCATGATTTGATAATAAAATACTACAGTACACACATGCGCTAATGATGGATTAATTAGACTTAATAAATTCGTCTCGCGATTTACTTGACGATGGATTCTGTAATTTGTTTTTTATTAGTATCCGAATACCCCGTGCGACACTCCATGTAACATCCAAACTTTACACCCCGAAACTAAACGAGGCCTTACTTCTGTTGGGGAAAAAACGAACGGAATGCTACAGTTACAGTATTTAAGTAGCGACAACTGTGACAAAGTAACCTCAAAGCGGTTAAATTAGCACTCTTTTTTTTCATATTTACCCTGTAGCCTGTAGACTACATTCGCTTGTCGTACACAGGAGTTTACCCCTATACCTGCGTAAGAGACTAGGAGTATGCAGCACTGAAACAATTGGGGGTCTGAGCTAAAATGGAGCGTTCTTAACCTCAAGCAAAGTAATAATGGGCTGAACTAAACTGAGAAAAGCATCGCTCCGTGGCAGGGTTGGCATATACTGAAAGAATATGGATATGTTCCTCGTGCCTTATCTTGCCTGAAGCTTTTGCAACCAATGGGAAGGTGACATAACACCTTTTGTGGGGCCGTATCTATCACTTTTCTTGTTCTCACCTGCAGGAAGCATCCATGCTAATGGCTACAGCACACGGTGTACTCCTCGTTTCTGTTTCTGGAGGTACCAAGCACCAGGGCGGCAATGGCGCCTCCCATGCCTCCCCTCTCACTCTCAGCATCACAAAGCACAATCACGATTCTGAAGATTTTTCCGAAACCTCCTGCTCCGGAGAGCTGCAGCAATAACTTCGCTTTTGGGGCCAAATTCGACGGCAGGAGGTATATATCGATCACATACTCAGTTCCTCTTCTCCCCTGGATCGCGTGTGTTCCTAGCCAAATAAAGTTTGATGTATCGCTTTGCTGTTCTAGGGCACTTCTATGCGGCTTGGTCGCTGCTGCTGCTGGCACCATGCTGGGCCCAGACATCGCCGGTGCTGCTTCGAAGAGGCGGCCTCCACCACCAGGGCCGGCAGAAGAGAAGAAAGACCCGAATGTTAGCGGTGTGCAGGCTAAGGTGCTTGCCAGCAGGAAGAGGAAGGAGGCCATGAAGGAAGCTGTGGCCAAGCTGAGGGAGAAAGGTAAGCCAGTCGATAAGTGAAGGCCAAAACCAGAACCAGTAGCCTCATTGTGGCTTGAGAAATGTAACTTACTACTAATAAATAATAATAATTGTTACTCGCTTGATGTGTACAGTTGAGAATAAAATACAACTATCTTGCTTGTATGCATTTTGTTCCAAATAATCTGTTGCGTGCATTCGTGTTCTTGCCACAGACTGATTTGGAAACTCAAAGTAAGGTACAAGGAAATAACTCTAATAAAGGCTTGTTTGGATACAAGAGGTTAAAAATTAACTCTCTCCTTTTAGCCCTTTTGGTCCAAACAGGAGGGCCAAAGGGGGGCGCTAATCTTTAGCCCTCCATTCCCATTAACCCCTTCAAGATGAGCTAAAAGGGTGCTGACTATCTTTTAGCCATGGTATCAAAACACCCTAAGAGGCTAATCTTTAGCCTTCTATTTTAAAAGCCCAAGGATGACGAGGAATCCAAACATGCCCTAAGTAACAACCTCGGAAGAACAAACTCAGGACTGGTATCTGGCAAGGTTTTGGCCGCCGCCATACCTAAAATCCCTATAAAATACATACATGGTATATGCTGATGCATGCTGTTCTGTGGGTTCCGGTGGCTGGGTTGGTGGGCTTAATGTTGATGGGCCACAATTAGCAAACTGAACGGAGGAGACTAATCTGTCCAGCAGAATACATGTTTAATATGTTAGTGGATCGTTATATAGTTTCAATGTACAATGTTTAAATTTTATAAAACCCCGCCATACCTAAAAATTATTCCTGCCTCCGCCGCTGGCTTGATCCCATCTAACAGCGTTTGAGACCTGTTATTCACAGGGCAAACACCAGTGCAGTCCCTTAACATAATGGACACCATGTCTTAAGACAACTTACTGACTTGCTCTAACTGCTTGCTACCTGAAAAAATCTCAATTTGAGGTCAGAGAAGTTTGAATACCAAGTGTACTACACACAAGAAGGGTAAACCCAATCAACTCGCAGCTTCAGGCCACCGGCCTCAGCGCCATTGAGCTCGTCAATGGCCCTCTCCCCATCCTCACGTCTCTTGAAGACGACAACGCCGAAGTTCATGCGGACTTCACTCTTGCAGCCACAAATGTCATTCCTGAACCTGGGAACATCCCACATCAGCAGCGGCCCGAACGGGCTGAAGAGGTTCTCGAGCTCCCACACCCTGAAGCCCGGCGGCACGTTGCTCACGCGTATGAAACGCCGCAGGAACTTGCGATGATCCCTGGAGGTTATTCTGTGTTCTCCGAGAGGGCATTCTCCTCTGCAGGTATCACCGAAATACCACCCAAAGATGTAGTTGAAAGGGCAGAAGTGCTCCATGTGGTCGTCACCGTCATCTCCGCAGATGTAACAGATGTCTTGCTCTGAGGACCTTGGGTAGGCCATGATACTAAACCGAATCATGCCAAGGTTCCATACTTCCACCTCTGCTGTCAGCAAGAACAAACGCCGGCATATGTGTTAGATTTCGTCGCAATCAAGGTGGCTACATGTTAATTAATTAAGAAAAATAATTACCATGTGGATAGTCCAAAGCACACAAAGTGAAGGAAAACATTATGCATCGTGTAATTTTCTGTTTGTGGTCATCTAGTAGTATCAAATTTCTGTTCACTGGATTTTTTAGTATCTGCATACTCAGTTTGCTTCAGACTAAATAAAACCCTTGTTGGTATTTTGCTTATTTTATCTATCATTTAAGTGAACTGTTTTCTGCAGGGCTCACAAGGAGCACTGGAATAACAACTAACGAAACAAAATGAAGTGCTATGATCTGGGTTTACTTCAAAGACGCATACATTAAATATTGAAAACAAACTAGATTTAAAGAATTAAGCCGGTAGATGCTAACTTGCAAAAACTAGAGATATATGTTATTGCACGTGCCTTCGAGGAATATACTAGTAGTACTGAAGATGGGCGCACGACGGCACGAAAGAGCCAGATAGAGTTCTGACTGTTGAATGTTGATATGCACCACAATCAAGTGCTGAAGATGGGTAATTGGGTAGGTCTACAGACTACAACAGATCCATGAAAAACGAAGCAAACGAGATTCAACAAAAGTAAGGATTAGGAAGCACCTTCCTGCGAGTGTCGCTTCCTCGAAATCCTCTTCCTCCTCGACCTCGTTTTGTGGAATTATACTTGCTGACGCGTTTGCATCTCTCCCCACGTATCCTGGCGGAGGCCATCCTCACCAATCCGGGTCTCCCCCAGCGGTCGACACGGTCGGCGGCGCTAGGCGCTCAGCGGGGTCAAGGAAAGATCAGAGACCGGGGCGCGCGGTGGGATGGATGCCCTAGTACGGAATCGCTAATGCTCAAGAGGAGAAAAGAAAAAAAAAACAAGGGGGATCCCTCAACTATTGCATAAGTCAACCAGGGCGGATCTACAGGGTATGCCAGGTATGCACGGGCATAACCTGCAGGTCTAGCATGTATAGAGTATATATGCATGTATATTTATTTGTAATAAAACAGAAAAACTTGCAAAATAACTAACTGAGGTTGCGCCTCAGTGGCGGACCCAGGATTTTTGCATAGGGTATGCGCCGCAAAAAAATTCTTATATAATTCGGTAAACTATTTATAATTCGGTAAAACCATATTATAATTCGGTAAAACGACGTCAAATCTTAATATAAATTGTTCAAATGAAATACAAATACTTCAAAATATAACAATAGGAGACTTACAATATTACTTGTTTATCCGCCGCTTTCTCAATGACATGAATGTCTCCATTATATCATCTTCATTAACTTGAAAGAAAATATCCCGCTCAATAAATGTGACTAGACAATCATCCAAAATAGTATCACCTATCTTATTCCTTGACTTTGTTTTTACTATAACTAATGCAGAAAATACCCTTTCAACACTCGCAGTTGCCACTGGTAAAAGCAATATCAATTTGAGAAGCAAGTACACCATATCATACACTTTGTGCCTCTTTGTTTCAACAAGCTTAACTGAGAGATCAACAATGTTGTCTAGACCTTGGAAGATAGCATCTTGTCGCATGTCATTAATATAATTATCAAGTTGTAATTCCAGTTTTAACAAATCATTATTGGAGAAGTCCTTAGGATAAAATTCAGCCAATCTACGTACCTTCCATACATCAAAGGAAGCAAAGAAGTTGGAAGAACCGAAGGCTGACATACAATAGAGTAGCTCCATATTGATCTCATCAAACCGATTATCAAGCTCTTGACTAATTTGATCAATGACACCAATGTATACTTCTCTTCGGAAATGGTCATCGTTTGTTTGGTTTCGGGCACGAGCATACCGTGCTGATTTTCCATAAGGCACATAAGCACCATCCATAGCAGGAACTTCAACACCATGTTTAACACAAAAAGAAGTGACCTTCTGAAGAAAATTATCCCAACCATTAGACCTCAACTCCTGCATTCTGCTCTTTGCCACATTAACAAGTGAGATTGCATTAAGAATATCTTGATCCCTTCTCTGCAAGCACTCGGATAACTCATTTGCATATCCAAGAATAACATACATTAAGTGCACAAAGAAAACAAACTCAAAGGTTTCAAATGCTCCAAGCACAAAATGTATCTTTGTCCAATCTTCCTTATATGCATTATCAGCACCAAGTTCAATGAGCACATCATGAATTGAGGAATATATAGTGATGATGCTACATATAGTTTTGTAATGAGAGCCCCACCGAGTGTAACCAGGCCTAGGCAAACCCATCTCTTGATTTAATCCACTCCCTGATTCAAGGTCACCACACTCTAGTGCTTTCTTGACATTCTCAAGCCTAGCATTTCGAAGCATATCATGACGCTTGCAAGAAACCCCAACAATGTTCAACAAGATAGATACTTGATCAAAAAAAGTCTTGCAGTCAGTATTTCCTTTGGCAACAGCAACAAGAACTAGTTGGAGTTGATGTGCAAAGCAATGAATATAATAAGCGGAAGGTGATTCTTGCATGATTAAAGTTTTGAGCCCTTTAATATCTCCTTTCATATTGCTAGCCCCATCATAACCTTGACCTCTAATCTGCTGCATACTCAATCCATTACTAGCAAGTAAAACTTCAATTGCTTTCTTAAGTGACAAAGAGGTAGTATCATCTACATGAACAACTCCAATAAAGTGCTCACATGGTCTTCCAAGTTTATCAACATAACGCAAGCAAAGAGCTAGTTGTTCTTTATGTGATATATCACTAGACTCATCAGCTAAAATTGCATAGGGCTCATCACCAAGTTCCTCAATTATTTTCTTTCTAGTTTTTATGGCACAACAGTGAATAATTTGCCTTTGTATCTTTGGGCTAGTCAAAGTGCAATTACCTGGTGCATTGTTCAAGACATACTTGTTCACTTCTTCACTATTTCCTGCAAGAAACTTTAAAAGTTCAATGAAGTTGCCTCTGTTGCTAGACTCTTCACTTTCATCATGTCCACGGAATGCCAATCCTTGATGCAAAAGAAACTTGATACATCTAAGTGAATATGTCAATCTTTTCTTGTAAAGACGAAGCTCCTCCTCACTCCACTTGTCAATGTTATAATCAATTGCTACCTTGGGATTCATAAAACCAATGTACCTCTCTTGAGCTGCTTTATGTGCCCTAGAACCAGAATGTTTGAGAAGTGTTGTGTTTCCTATATTCCAATTATTCCATCCATCAACAATAAAAGTTTTTGACCCTGCGCCTTCTTGAACAAGTAGCATATGAAGCAAAATGCGAATCCTTCTTGACACTATATTCAAGCCACTCATAATTATACAACCATTGTATCTTTGAATCGACGAGGTACGCCTCAATGTTTGGTATGGAAAATCATGTATATAAGGTTTGCAAGCACCTTTAGTAATATATGCTCTACGGATTGCATCTTGATCATTAACAGGATAATCTTCAATGGGCAGCCTTTCACTGGATCATATGGTAGGCGATTGATGTCATACTTGGCGGCTTTGATCTTGGCGGTGGCGGTGATGCTAGCGGGGGCGAGGACAAATGATCTGCAATTTCTTCAACTTGTACTCTATCTTCTTCTTGATTATGCTCTTCCACAATATTTTCATCCGGAGGTGGGTCAATAGCAGCCGCCTTCTTTGCTGCTTTCTAAAAAAGGGATCGAATGTCTCCGTTTCTTTTCATAATTCAAGACTCAAGAGTTCTGAAAAAAACACTCGTCAATTATCAAAACTAACGATCGGAAGAAACCTGGAACTGAGGAAGAATGGGGATGGACGGGGAGTATCACCGAGGCGAGGAAGGGATGGTGATCGATCTTGCAGCGATGGCGGCGATCCAGGCGGCTGAGCCGTGCAAAGCGACGGGCGATGATGTGCTCTGCTGGTAGGGCGGCGGCGGGCGCTCTGGGCACGGGCGCACGGCACCAAGCGGTTTAGCTGGGAGCCGTCGCTAGCGCACGCGAAGAAACCTGGAAGTCCTGGTATGACACGTCGTAGACGAGGCCTGGGTCCAGCGCGTGCTTGGGCCGGATGTGGCCCGAGCCATAGTCCATGGGCCCCACGACGGAGCAGACGTCATGATGTATGGTTGCCCCGCGAGCCGCGACCGAGCGTTGTTGTTTGATGGCGTGAGACGACGTTTACCGACCACCCTGTCGGCCTGTCACCCGGTTACTTTCGCGCCGGGCATGCACCTTGGCACTCGTCAGCTCACACACTCGCCATGCAACACCAACCACTCGTCAGCTCACACACTGGCACTGCACGACGACACGCTGCGTGATATCTACTGCAACCTGCACCAGCTGAAATTAAAAGAAGCTCCATTGCGTCTCGATCGACGGGTGGCCCACAGGGTGGTCGGTGGACCACCCTGACCACCCACTAGGTCCGCCACTGTTGCGCCTTGCGGCGTGAGGCCTTTTCACTTTCGAGGCCCACGACCTCACCCAGTGACACGGCCTATGCCAGCTACGGGCCTACGGCCACACAACGTCACTTGGAAGGACCCCACACGACGGGACTTTAGGGTAGGAGTCCATCGATCCAATGCCACTAGGTCTCAGATCGCCGCCATCTCCGATCAACGAAGCCGCACACGCGCTCAGGCGAGGCTACGAGGACACGACGTCACCACTAATCATGATTAAGATGGTCAGACGCCCCAGCTACTTCGCTGCTGCATGCTGCTGGTCGGCTCGGCTCTGCGTGCGCAACTAACGTACTAGGCATAGAGCTTGACTACTAGCTACCGAGGTATTCTATCTCTGATTTTGTCTCTTCTCTTTTAATTTTTATGTATAAACATAACGTCTATTGATATTGCTCGACAACGGCAATTGTTGATAGGGTATTTTCTACAATGATTTAGTGAAAGCAAAATTAAGAATTTGTTAAGAG